ACTCCTTCACATTAAAGGAGGGAACAGTCAGCAGCTGTTACCTGGTGAACCTGACCTCTCCTTTATCTCTCTCTCTCTGTCAGCGCCGCTGGACCACGAGCTCGGGGAAACCCGTCTGCTCGTCCAGCTCTCTCTCAAACTGCAGCTGAGTCGCCTCTCCGATCACCACCTCGGCCGTGGTGAACACCTCCAGACCTCCCAGCACGTGGCCTCCCACCGTGCCGCCCTCGGCGTCGGCCAGGCAGACGTGAAGGTGAGCGTCCGGGTTCAGAGTGCCGACCAGGGACACGATCTCATACCGCCCGCTCAGGTGGAGCACCTGAGGAGGACAGTTCATGCTTTTTGTTTTTTTCAGAGACAAAACTCCAAGAGCATAAAGTCATGTGACTGTGAGGTATACCTCGTTTGTGTTTGATGCCGTGGCGTTTGCCAACCTGAGCGTCGCCTTGGTGACGCTCCCCACACAGCTCATGATGAACGGCGCCTTGAGTCCTGTCCTTCACAAACGCCTGCAGAGACCCCAGCAGCTCCTGACCCGGGCCAAAGCGGACCGCGTGGACCTGCAGGGGGATCCTCCTGAAGGGGAAGTCTGCGACAAAAGGTCTTATAAGTCGTCTCGTACACGCCAATCCCTCTTAGAATCGATGGATGTGATTGGTTTTCCGGGCGGGTTTGAATCACAGAGAAGTCATTTTGTAAACAGAGTCTGTGTTTATGAGTCTGACTGCTCTGAGATCAGCTGGAGAACAACAAAGCTGCTCTCTTTAAAGCGGGCTTCAAAACATGCTGAAAAGAAACACAAATGTGTCTAAATCCAAAATCTCTCCTTTTCTGTTCAGCGTGTGTGTGTGTGTGTGTGTGTGTGTGTGTGTGTGTGGTCCATTCAGATCTCTAACAGGATCACTGTGCCAAACCAAACACCAGGCTGACCTCTGACCCCTGCGGAGGAGGGGGAGGGGGAGGGACTCTCATGTGAGCAGACATCATTAAAGCTCTAACTGATCTGCAAGTTTAACAGAAGTGAATAAAGAACACGCAGGGAGCGGAGCTAACATCACTTCACACGCCTTACGTCGACATGTTACCACCTTTACCACCAAACATCTTCATTTCCTACTTTTAAACAGTCTTATATTTGTATCTTCTTAAAGAGAGATGTAAGATGATAAATTGCACGGTGACTTCATGCGTCTCTGATCATACCGCCGTCCAGAGCAGCTTTGTAAACTTGATGAAAACACAAAGACAAACCTTTTCACAGGCTTTTCAGATCTACATCGACCCGTCTGGAGACACACACACATTCTGAGGTCCAAACTTAGATTGTTGACGTGCGGCCTCGCCTCAGCCTCATGGAAACAAACATGGCAGGGACCGGGAAGTTACAATTTTTAAAAACATTTTCAGTAAATTGATTTATTGAAACAGGTGGAAAGAGTTTGGCTTGATCTTAAAAGACAAAAAACACCGATGTGTTTTCTGAATCGTAATGTGTGATCACGTCTCTGCTCTTCATCTTAACTTGTTGTTTGTGAACTGTTTCTTAATCTTGTAATATTTATCATGACGTGTGCTGCTGCCCACTGTGGGCCACAGCCTTGTGATTCAGAGTGAGACTCATCTTGCCTCCTTTCCAAAGTGACATGCTCCTTTATGTTTTGCGTGTGTAAAAGATTGAACGTTCTTCTCATTTTTTTAGCACGTATGCAATTATAACATGAATCAAGCACACAGAGGAGCTTTGTGACCCTGTATAAACCAGCTCTCTCAAAACGCTCCGTTTTGCTGTGTGTGTCTCTTTAAATGCAATGAGCCCCCCTGAGTTCCAATCCAATCCAACTTTATTTGTTAAGCACTTTAAACAAACACAGTTGACCAAGAAGAATGAATAAAATACATAACTGCTCACATGAGATCAAAGAAAACAGCATGTGAAATACAGAATCAATTTAAAAAAACATAAAATAAGTAAAATGAATAGGAATCCAAAAAGAAATCAAATAAATAAACAAGTTGACGTCTTACTGTGTGTCAAAGGCCAGGGAAAAGAGATGGGTCTTAAGAAGAGATTTAAAAACAGGCAGAGAAGAGGCCTGTTTAACGTGCTGAGGTAAATCGTTCCAGAGTTTTGGAGCCCAGCAAACGCACGTTCCCCTCTGAGCTTCCGCTTGGTTTAGACATCACTCCTTTATTTATTATTGACATTATTGATTTAATCAGGAGGATTACATTTTTAAAACACCTCAGAGGACATTTTTACATCACTTTGAATATGAACAACAACATTTATTCTGACTAACTCATTTCTTTAAGTGTGATTTTATAGATTTTCTACAAATGTAAAAGTGGTGAGAAGAGAAAATCAGCATGAAGAAAAGTTTTCTGCTCTCTCTCTCTCTCTTCAGCTCCTGAATCAGAACAGAAACAACAGAAAATATAAATGTGTGAAAACAAATAATCAAAATGGAGAGCAGAGAGAAGTTGATATTTATCACTCAGAGAAATGTCAGTTTCAGGTGAACAAAAGTCATCCTGAGCAGTGAAAGAGTCCACGGCTAAACAGACACAGGAAGGAGTGTCACTTAAAGACACTCAAACATTTACAGAACAGACGAGGAGGTCAAGTACCGCCCATAAGTTTGATTGTTTGATTGACAGGTGACCACGATCAGATCTCAGCAACGAGCGTGGATAAAATCAAGTTGAAGATTTAAAACACAGCAAGTTAAACATCTGTCTCATTAATGACTTCTGTCTATTTCAGTTTACACAACTCAGCTGAGTCTCCAACACAAGCCAAAAAGTTAATAAACCTGAGTCAGCATGTAGAGGCTGAGTGAATGTGGTCTGGACTCTGTGGAGGAGAGTCATGGTTTCAGAGATGCTGTAGAAGGACAGAATACCTGCTCTGTGATCCAGGTACACTCCTACTCTGGAGGACCAAGGACCTGAGACAGGAGTGCTGACATTGTTGTATAAAAGTTATAACTGTTGTTGAAACAATCTAACGCCAAGATTTGTCATTACGTCCAAATACACCTCATTCATCCCCCTGCTCTGCTGATATTCTTGTATGTGACTGCTACCAAACTCCTCCTCCCTCTCTGCTCGACTTCCCAGTAACAACGTCCACTCAGACTCTCTTTACTCAGGACCTGAAGAATTCAGTGAATCTGTCTGGGTGACTAGAATAAGGATGGTCTGACGTTAATGTTACTTTTCTGTTCCATCAAGATAATAACAGCTCTGTGTTTCTGTGTTTGGATCCAGTGTGATGTCACATGAATATTTTAAGAACTCAGCTCTGGTCTTGGGCTCTGGTTCTGACAGTAAAACATCCACTTCAGTCACTGTCTGTGAGATGTTTGTCCATTTCTCTCTCAGGACGTCCTGTAGTTTATCTCTGACTTCTGACACAGCCGCTGTCACGTCCTCAAAGTACCTCAGAGGACGGATCTTGATGCTGGATGAGTGTGTAGATTCACTGAGTGGTGACAGTGAGGGTAGTCGTGTAGAAACTGGTTGTGGTCCTGTGTGTGTGACAGCTTCTTCATCTCAGCGTCTCTCCTCTTCAGCTCAGTGATCTCCTGCTCCAGCTTCTCCTGAAGCTCTCTGACTCGACTCACTTCAGTTTGCTGCTGGGATCTGACCTGCTGCTTCACATCAGAGCGTCTTTTCTCCATGAGACGGATCAGCTCAGTGAACATCTTCTCACTGTTCCCACTGTTTTTATCAGCAGAGCCATTGATAGCCTCCACCTCCTGTTGGAGCAGCTTCACATCTTTCTCTCTGTCCTGGATTCTCTGCTGGATGTTTTGTCGACTCACCTCCAGCTCTCTCTGCTTCTCGCTCCTTTCTGCTGCAGCTGAGACTGTGTCATGACCTTTGTGTTCGTCCACAGAGCAGAGATAACAGATAGACTGCTGATCAGTACGACAGAACATCTTCATCACCTCATCATGACGAGAGCAGACGTTCTCCTGGAGCTTCTTGGAGGGCTCCACCAGCTTGTGTTTTGTATAGGCAGGTATTTCATAATGAGGCTGGAGGTGTTTCTCACAAAATGAGATCAAACAGAAGAGACAGGACTTACAGGCTTTCAGTTTCCTCCCGGTGCAGACATCACAGGCCACATCTTCAGATCCAGCATAGCAGTGATCAGCAGGAGCAGCTTGGAGTCCAGTCTTCTTCAGCTCCTCCACACTAAATTTGACAACATGGTGTTTTTCCTCAGGTCAGGCCTCGCTGTGAAGGTCTGTCTACACTGAGGGCAGCTGTAGACTGTCTTCTCATCCTCTGTATCCCAGTGGCTTTTAATACACTTCATACAGTAACTGTGTCCACAGGGAACAGCCACCGGATCCTTCAGGAGATCCAGACAGATCGAACAAGAGAAGGTTTCCCGGTCCAGCTGAACTCCTTTCTGCGCCATTTCTCCTCTCGGTAACAACGACTGTCTGAGTTTCACTTCCTCATAACTGATAACAAGTTTCACCTCTGATCTACAAAGCATGTGTCTGTGCATGTGACTGTGCAGCTCTTGTTGATTACACCCATCCTCAAACTGTAGATCTAAAGGGGAGGGAACCAGGAAGTATGAGGACAGAGTGCAGCAGGCTGTGTTTGAGAGCAGGAAGAAGAGGGAGGGCTGATCGAACTACGATTCATTCCAGGAAGAGGAGCGGTTTGAGAGAGATACTTGTTTACAACAGAGAACATTTCTCTGGTTAAAAACACTTCTCCTTTCAGATTTTAGATGAACTCTTCTTTGAATCGGAGGGTTTGGAGAAGACCACAAACAAAACCAGATATTATTTGTTAAGATTTCACTTCAGAGCCACAAAATGAGTCTTTCTAATGATTATCCACTTCAAATCTATTATTATTGTTTATTTTTTGAAGCATAAATACCAAATAAACAATGTCTCTATGCTTCTAAATGTGAGGATCTGATGTTTTTCTTGGTCGTACTTTATAGAGCAGTTAAAGTTTTTTTCTCTTTTTGGCTGTTGATGGACTTTGACTTTAACTTTGTTGTGACTTAGAGGAAATTCATTTAGCAGCCGCAGGTGAAAAAAGAAACGTAACCTGTAGAAAACACACTCAGGAACACAGACTCAGACATTAGAGACAAGCAAACTGAGGAAGAATAGTTATAGTTATCTGTTTGAGTCAAAGGTCTGTATTAAACTCAGACATTTCTGTGAACACTTCCAGGGTTTTTCTGAATTTACAAAAAGTGAGAACATTAAAGAGGACATATGATCCCCCTCCTCCACCTTTTCAAACAGTCCCCTCCTCCACCTTTTGAAACAGTCCCCTGTGGTCTGAATGAAACATCTGTGCTGTGCTTTGGTCAAAATATAACATGAATCAAGCACCAGCCTCGCCCCCTGAGATTTCTCCGTTGATGGGTCCATGGGTGGCGATACCAGGGGAGTTTCTTTTGTTTTTTACCAGAATCCCACTGTGACATCACAAGGAGAGCA